ATATAACACTCAGCAGTCAATTTGTCTACCGCCGACGCCTATACAGTCCCAAATATAATATTTATATATATATATATAAAATAAATAAATATTTAAATTTTTGGTTTGTTTGGGAATAGTGAATATATTTAGAATATGCTTAGATATTTTAGAATATTCTACCATCTAATGGTTATTATTTATTTATTAATCATGTATTTATTATTTATAAATATGTTTATAATCCAATTGATCAATATAATTAATAAATAATAACAACAAATTTTCCTGTATTCGTGCTTTGGCCGGAATTGACCTTCAAAGTCATGGTTATTAATTATACAAAAAATGGAAAAACATTGAAATTTCAAAATCCAGTTTATACGCTGCTACAACGTATAATGCAAACCTTGATCTAATAAAGGAAATGGATGCACGTTTTCTTGTGAATGGGACCCAAGCCCACTACTGAACGAGGAATCCGTTAGCGGCCACGAAGGAAGGAGATACCCTCTTCTGCCTGCTATGGCACTATAAAACCCACAAGCTTGGGCAGGGGCTCTAGAGATTGAAGTTCTTTTCCACAAGAATCCAGAGCTAGAAGTTTTATCATGGTTAGCACATTGAATTTGTTTGTCATCTGCGTCACTCTCTTCTCGATTTCCATCCAAGGTGAACGTTTTTCACGATCCAGCCGTCTGGTTTCTAAAATCCTCTCTCTCGAATTGTATCAGCCGCGCTGGAATGCGAGGAGCTAGCGGTCGAGGACTGCGCGTTCGCGGTGTCGGGCTTGGGATCTCGATGCGTTCTGGAGAAGCGCGTCCTGGAGAGCAAGATCGTTGTTTACCAGTGCCAGGTTTGATCGATCAAAATCATGGATCGTTACTCCCCTGTTTTTCCGCGTAACAGACGTCCCCTGTCTTGGCGGAGAGATCCGAGGCATGGATCGAAACCGACGAGTGCCTGGCGGCGTGTGGCCTGGAGAGGATGTCGGTCGGGATCTCCACCGATGGAATCATCCGCAAGGAGTTCCTCAGCCGCTGGTGTTCTTCTCAGTGCCAGGCCAACTGTCCCAACGTTGTCGATCTCTTCACCAAGCTCGCCTCCGGAGAAGGTAATCCGATCGCTTTCCAATTCTATCATCGTTCCAGTGTCTTTCCTTCACAGACATCCATCTTCCACACATTTGCAACTCCATCCGACCCAGCTCTCGTAAGCTGATCGGTGAATCCTTGAGCGCTATGTCAAAGGGCACGAAACAGGCCATCGATTCGCTCCACAATGCCGAGGCCCCCGAGGCTCTTCACGGTGCCGAGGCCCCGGAATCTCTCACCTTCCTGGACTCGTCCGATGCCATGGCGCCATCTCCGGACGTCATGTGATTCGTTTCTTTAGATCCATCACAAAGATACTCAAAAAATCTCATATAATATTCACCAGCTAGTCGAAATTCTAGAAACCGTTAAGTTGTAGTTCGTGGCATGATCATAAGAAAGTTGGTAGTCGTGAGCGCATGTTATTTTGCCCCCAAATTCAATCACTAGCTCAACAACACCGAATTGACTCACTCGCTTTCCCTCGCTTTCGAATTGACACATTGACTCACTTTCTTCACTCGCTTTTGACCGAATGTGTTTATTGACTAGAATTTATGAAAAGAATCAATGTCGGTTTGGAGAGTTTCTACCACAATCTCAGCGCACGGGATCGTATGGAAGCTTCTCCAAACAAAAAATCAATCTCTCTACCGCAGACGAACTATAAACATGATCTATCGAGAATGTGTCCTCTAGTTGGTGCTTGGAGCTGGAGCTGGTGCCAAGGTGATCGATTCTGCGGAAATAGCAGCTTGCGGAGCAGCCGCGCCAGCCAAAGATTGGAGAACAAACTGGGTGTTCTTGAAGAGGAGAGAATCGGCAAGGATCCTGTGAGCACTGGGTCTCACGTAGTTGCAAACCTCGGCAAGATTGACACCTATCATCAAAAGATTTTCGGTTAAAGACCTGTTTGATCGAGAACTCTAGATGAATGATCTCACCTTCTCCGGCAGCGAGGCTTTCAAAAAGGTTGACAATGTTGGGGCAATTGTTCTGGCACACTGGCGAGCAGAGCCTGTTGACGAAGTTGCGGTTGGCGAGGCCATCGCTGGAGAATCCCACCCACATCCTCTCCACTCCACACTCTTTGACGCACTTATCGGATTCGATCCAGGCCTCTTGCTTCTCGGCCATGACATTGGATGTCTGAAGAGAGCAATCGATCGATTGTAAGTTTCAATCCAGAAACCAAAAGAAGAAGAGCATCGAATTGCTCTCACCTGGCACTCGTAGATGGCGCTGCTGTCCTGAGCTATGAATTTTTCTAGAACGCATCGGTTTCCCATTGTGGACACGGCAAACGCGCAGTCCTGAGGAGGAAGATCCTCGCACTCGAGCCTGCTTCCAGCTGAAACGAAAGCAGCAAAGATAATAAGACCTCCGTTTCAAATCAACAGCAAATAGCCGAAGAACCTACCAATCGCTCCGCTGATGCAGAGAAGAATCACAAACGAAGATACAAAGGCAAGAGATCTGGAAGAGCGCGCCATGCTGCGGAATCGACCGGAAGTGATGAACGAAACTTTAGGATCTTTGTGTGGTGCGTAGTAGCAAAGCGAAGCGTGTTCTGGAGATCGTGTTAAAGGAACACGGTCCCTTGGGTTTATATACCGCGAAGCTGCGCGTGGGAAAGAGCGTCAGCCGATGAGCAGCAGCAGAGAAGCTGGATCCTCTCTAATAACGCGCTCGAAAAAAACTCGTGGTTTTACCGTGTCAACCTTCGCTACGAACTCTCTCCTCGATCACTCAGTCAGCCCGCCCTAATTAAAGATTAAATTTTTGAACGAGAGTCCATTCGCGATTGGAATATTCTCGGCTATGGCGAAGTTTGTGTTTGCACGGCGCCGGGCATGGCGCGTGGTGCTGGTACAAAGTTTTGCCTCGTCTCCGCCAAGCTGGCCACGCGGCCCTGGCCGTGGATCTCACCAGCGCCGGGATCAGCACCGTTGATCCCAACCAGGTGAGAACCTTGGCTCATTACTCGCAGCCTCTCATCGATCTCATCGAGTCCCTTCCTCAAGGAGACAAGGTATAATATCCATTGTTTTTTTCTAATAAAGTCTAGTTTTAGATCGTGCTCGTGGGTCACAGCCTTGGAGGAATTGTCGTCACTTATGCCATGGAGAAGTATCCCTCGAAGATTGGAGCGGCTATCTTCGTGGTGGCACAAATGCTCCCTTCGGGTCCCAAAGCTATGGAGATCTGACAGAAGGTGAAACTTTGCCAGTTCCTTCCGTCGCTCAAATCTCATGAAGTTTTCTTTTGGCAGGCGGCAATGCCTGGTTTTCTGGAAATTATAGATAGCTTCTGCACCAAGGACTCGGAAGTTGCAACCTCATCAAGCTTCAAACCGGAGCATCGCCAGTCTGTGCTTTACCATCTTTGTTCGCCCGAGGTGAAATCACGGCCAAAACTTTTAGATCCGCTACTGAAACTCGACTTCAAACAGGACGTGGAGCTAGGGAATCTTCTAGTCAAACCAAATCCTCTCTTGCCACCCTCTGAAATCGCCGTGGAGTACACGAAAGAGAAGTATGGAAGTATTCCTCGTTATTACATCAAAGGGATTCATGACGTGTTGATGCCCGTGGCAATGCAAGATTATCTTCTGGAAAACAATCCCCCTGACGGTGTTCTAGAGCTTCCATCTGATCACAGCCCCTTCTTTTCCACTCCAGATGCGCTTGTGGAGGCACTCTCAAGCATTGCAACATCGTTAAAATGAAAGCTTATGGCAAATGCAAGGAACCGTCCTATCACTATATAATGAAAATAATCTTGGACAATGCAATGGCAATCTTGCAAGAGCTTGGTTTTGGCTGAGGGTATTCATGCCAATCAACAGTGATGATGGCTTCTTGCAATTTACACAGGACACCTAAAATTTATCCCGTGCTAGGCTTCTAGAGAAAGCAGAATACGCCTTTACTTGCAACTGCATGATTGACGCGTACGTGCAGCATGGCATTCTTGAAATGGCTAAATTTCTGTTTGATAGACTATCAAACAAGCATTAGCTCTATGCTCCTTGCATATGCCCAAAGAGGGCACCTTGAGAATATTACGAGCTCTGGACCCAGAAGACATCCACTTCTTTGCAACCATGCTAGATGAGGCTGCAAGCCGCATTTATCTCGTCACAAGCTTAAAAGCAAATCATGCTCCAAGCATAACTTTGTTGGCCGAGGATCCTCAAAGCCATGCTAGTGGACAAACAGTGGCTAGAGTTTAGCAAAGACTCGATGCGTTCTCATATCAGCACAAATTGAATCGCACCAGGGATCCAAGCACTTTTATTCTTTCGTCTCCAAGATTTGAGATTGATTGGAAGCTAGCCATGGAGCTGGAAACCCGAGGATTGTGAGCAAGGGGCATAGAAAAGTGGGCGTAGCACCCTTTTTTCGAAGTTCCCACACAGGTTGAGAATTGACCATTCCTGACATCCAGAAGCTTTTGATATCACTCGAATCCAAGCCTTGCAGCTCGAGAGTCGAGACAATAAAACGCGTGCGACTGGAATATTCTCGCCAATGGCGAAATTCGTGTTTGTGCACGGCGCAGGGCATGGCGCATGGTGTTGGTACAAGGTCTTGCCTCGTCTCCGTCAAGCGGGCCACGCGGCCCTGGCCGTGGATCTCTCCAGCGCCGGGATCAGCACCGTTGATCCCAACGAGGTGAGAACCTTGGCTCGTTACTCGCAGCCTCTCGTCGAGCTCATCGAGTTCCTTCCTCAAGGAGACAAGGTATACTATAAGAGCATGTCGTGTTTTTTTGGCATTTTTTTCTTCTAGATCGTGCTCGTGGGTCACAGCCTTGGGGGGATTGTCGTCACTTATGTCATGGAGAAGTATCCCACGAAGTGTGCAGCGGCAATCTTCGTGGTGGCATCGATGCTCCCTTCGGGTCCCAAAGCTATAGAGGTCCGAGACAAGGTGAAACTTTGCCAGTTCCTCCCGTCGCTTGGATCTCATGAAGTTTTCATGTAAATCTGGCAGGCGGTGATGTCTGGTTTCTCAGAAATTGTAGATAGGTTCTACACCAAGGGCTCGGAAGTTCCAACCTCGTCAAGACTCAAACCGGAGCATCACCAGCCTGTGCTTTACCATCTTTGTTCTTCCGAGGTGAAATTCTGCAAAACGTTTAGACCCGCTACTAAAACTGGACTTCAAACAGGACGTGGAGCTAGCAAATCTTCTTCTCAAACCAAATCCTTTGTTGCCACCCTCTGAAATCGCGGTGGAGTACACCAAAGAGAAGTATGGAAGTGTTCCTCGTTATTACATCAAAGGGATGCATGACAGAGTGATACCTGCGGCAATGCAAGATTATCTCCTGGAAAACAATCCCCCCAACGGTGTTCTAGAGCTTGCATCTGATCACAGCCCCTTCTTTTCCACTCCAGATGAGCTTGTAAAGGCACTTGTAAGCATCATAACATCGTTAAAATGAAAACATTCTAGAGAATTGCAAATGCAAGGAATTGCCATACAATGAAAACCCTTGGAAGACTATGGACAGAGTCCAGTGCCTAGAACTCATCCAATCTTGCAAGAGCTTGGCTTTGGCTGAGGATCTGCATGCCAGTAACAGTGCCAAAACTGATGATGTTTTCCTGTGCAACAAGCTCATCGCAATGTACACGAGGTGTGGAAGCTCATTGCACGCCAAACGAGTTTTTGATAGCATGGTTTCCAGGGATGTCTACTCTTGGGATTTCATGATGAATGCTTACTCGAAGTATGGCAGCCTTGAGAATGCAAAGGGATTCTTTGATTCGATGCCTCAGAGAACTACTGTTTCTTGGGTTGCAATGTTAAGCTCATATGCCCGTTCTGGGCATCTAGAGGAAGCCGAAAATACCTTTGCAAGGATGCCAGATGCAACTACGGTGGCTTGAAACTTTATGATTGACGTGTACGTTCATCATGGATTTCTTGAAAAGGCGAACATTTTGTTCGATAGAATGCCAAGGCAAACATTAGTTGCTTGGACCACTATGCTTGTGCATATGCCCAAAGAGGGCACCTTGTTCTTGCCAAGAGAATGTTTCACACGATGCCACTACGAGATCTAATCTCTTGGACGGCCATGTTCAACGCGTATGTGCAGAACGGGACTGTTGAAATTGCGAGAATTTTTGTTGATCTCATGCCGGAATGGGATCTCGTATCGTGGACAGCAGTGCTCACTGCGTATGTGAAGAGAGGAAACTTTTCCGAAGCCAAGCAAACTTTTGATCAGATGCCGTTTAGAAACTTGGTGTCATGGACGTGCTTGCTGGACGCATTTTTACAAGTCAAAGACGTACAAGCTGTTAAAGAAACGTAGAATGTAATGCTCTCTGCATGTGCCCATCTCAGAGATCTGCAAAACGCGGTGATCATCTTTGAAGCTATGCCCGAACGAACAATGGCTTAAGCCGAAACGCGATTTGGTTTCATGGACAATTGGAAAATTGGCATCTGGATGAAGCAAAGAATATCTTTGAAATGATGCCACAAAAGACAATAGAGGCGGCAAATACAATGCTTTCAGCTCTTGCACAAAATAAGTGCCTGTCGGAATTTAGAGAACTGTTTGTAAAGATGCCACAGCATAGTACAATGTCGTGGAATGCTCTTTTGTCAGCAAATGCACAAAACGGGCACTTGGAGGAAACAAGAAGGGTTTTCCTGAAATACAATACTCTCAATAGAGGCCCAAAAAGGGATGATAAGTAGAGCCAAGGAAATCTTCCAGTACGAAATGCTAGAGTGGGATGTTGTGTCTAGCACTGTAATGATCTCGACTTTCTCCAAAAGCGACAAGTTTGAAGAGGCTAAGCAGGTTTTCGACACAATGCCATTTCAAGATTCAGTCTCTTCAACAGCCATGGTTCCCAACTTTGGCCAAAATGGACAAGTTGAAGATGCTAAGGGCTTGTTTGAAAGAATCTGTCCGTAAAACAGAGATGTTGTGTGTTGGAATGTGATGTTTGTAACTTATGCTCAAAATAGACATCTACTGAAAGCAAGAGAAGTGTTCAATGACATGCTATGTATGGAAGGACACAGCCTCCTGGACTGCAATGTTGTCTCTCTATGCTCAAACTAGCCACCTCTGGTATTGTAGAAAGCTCTTTCTTGAGATGCTTGAGAGGTGCTTGGTCACTTGGAGTTCATTGCCTTAGGTGGAATGGTGTTTCATTTAAGTATTATAAAATTCATTAATCCTCACCCCTTCTTCAGAGCATAGGCCTTTCTTTTGACCACATGGTCAATGTAAGTCAAAGGGAAGCTCAATATTAAGATATGTTAGGGTAAAGAATTTAACTTACCCTAGGGCTCTCAGTGGAGGGGTGTGGTGGAGTTTTCAAGGTAGCTCAAAGGTGGTTGGGTGGTGAAAAACTTTAAAAGGAGGCATAACATAATCTAGGGAGACTAGATTTTATCTTTTTGCATTGGATCATAACATTAATATTAAAGGAGTTAGTTGTGATGGCTGACAAAGGTGAACGCTAGAATCCTATTGTCAATGGTGATGCCAATGATGGTGCCAATGGAGCTATGAAGGTTTAGACCATTCAAAATATTGTTCATGAGTTGTGAGCTTTTAATCAAAATCAATAAAAGGTGCAAGATGGCATGATGGATACCATATATAAACATGTCTCTAAATACCAAATGTAGCCAATGTGGTTTTCACTTTTATCCTATGGTGATCTATAAGATAACACAAAAACGGAATCTAAATCCCTTCATATACCACATGTCTAAGGACAGTAGAGCAAACCCAAAGTTTCAGGGCCTTAGGCCACTAAATAAAAGAATAGAGCCAAACTTCTAAGTATAGAGCCAATAAGCAAAGGTATTGAAATACAAAGTGACTCCCAATTATACAGCCCAAGGAGTGAAGGAACAAAACTATGGAGCAATTTGGAAAAGTTTTAAAGCATTTAGCATCCTAATGTCATAACTAACATGAAAAAATAGAGCTAAACAAAGTTTGATGTTATTTCAACATATTGGTGGCCTAACGCAAAGATATGGGTACTCCAACAGCTACTATGGCAAGCTGAATATAGAACAAAATAGGTACACAAGCGAGAGCTAGATTATGCCTTAGATTGGTTAGTCATTTTTGACTTAATCCCTACTACATTTAGAACCCCCAATATGCCTTCCCCTTGAGAAATGCACGCTTTGGGCTTTCATTTAGTTATCCTTAGTACTAGGAGTTAGTCTCTAGGACAAATTTAAAACTTACTAATTATGGAATGTCACTAGATTGTGAAGTTGGACACGGGACCAACACTATAATTTCTACATTTCATAGATATGCTAAATTAGCAAATTTAGACACTTTCCATAAATAGCAATTGAGACTAAATAGAACTAACATAAAGGGCATGATAGTGAGGGTGTAGACACGGTAAATTATTATCTAGCAAATATTGAGGGACCAATCTTAATATTGTGGGGGTTCTTGTCAAGCCAGTGCAGGACAGAACAAACGAGAACTAACAAACCGAAGACACTTAAGAATTTCTTCCTTATGCTCATTTAGCCAAGTACAAATGCTAAGTTAAATTTACTAACACTTGAACAAAAGGGACTGATAAAGGGTTTAGTAATGCTAACCTCTTGTTGTCATGGTAGTAAGGAAAAAATATTTGAAAGGACTAACTAATAGGTAACTTTCAATACCTACAATCACATTTATGATAATGTTGAGGCACTCGAGGCTAAATGTGATAGTGCTCCAAGTAAAACTTCCTTGGTAGATCAATTTAGGATTCCAACCTTTTCCAATAATGGTGGTGTGGACTAGTGTCTAGTTTGGCTAGCTAATGTAAAGAAGTTCTTGGCTGTTAAAGAAATTCCAAATGCGAAGGCTTTAATGGTTATTTTAATGGTTTTGCATGATGCGGGTCTTCAGTGGTGGAATTGGCTTGAAGAGTCTTGGATAAGAAACCATCAATATCTACTATAGATGAGTTTGAGGCTACTTTCTGCTTACATTTTGTCCCTCACTATGATATAGAGATTGTTTGTACAGAACTTTGACATTTCCAGCAAGGGAAAATGATGCCCAGGAACTATATTGGAAAGCTTACTCACTTGATTAGTTGTGTTCTAACAAAGGATTCAGATCAAAACAAGACCTACTTTATTGATAGTTTTTATAGTGAGAGCATGCAGTAACATTTGCATCATTCTCAACCTACAAAGAGTTTAGAGAAGCTTTTTGATGCAGCAAGTCTCATAAGCATTCAAGGAGTCTTTTTGTCAAGAATTATCATGATGGTCACCATGGACACAACGATGGGAACAAGCATCACAGGTTGAAGTTTATGGTGGCTACTTCGGATGCAAAGGGGTCTAAGAAACAGTTCTTTATGAAGAATTATGGAAAGGGTTGTCATTGTTGCAGCGAGTTTAAACACTACAAGGATGATTATCTACCATCGAGGGACAAATAGTAGGGCAAAACGAATGGCCGATCTTCTACTGATAGTAAGTTAGATATTAAAAATATGTAAATTTTGCAGTGTGAGGATGATGGGGATGACCATTTCAATTGAAGGAAGAGGCTTTTAATCATTGCTCATCAATTTAACTGTGTGTAGAATAAGATGGAGCTCGAAGACACTCGTGCATCAACTTTAATGCTAAAGGGTGTGTTCTGTGGCAGTCCAGTATGGATTTTACTGGATAGTGGGAGCGATAACAATTTTGTTTCGGCAAAGTTTATTGAGAAGCATGGTCTAGTGACATGAGTTCTTCTATACATAATAGAAGGTGTAGTTACCTTTGCTCAACATTTTGATGCTTATGTAGAGGGGTTGGAAGTGTTAGTTGGCAAAACCATATATGTGGAGACTTTTTATCTCGTGAATATCCATCATGTGGATCTCATTCTTGGGATGCCATGATTAGTGAAAGTGAATCTAAAATAAAATAGAGTATTAAACATGTCTCGTTAGAGTATGGTAACATTTAAGTTGTGTAGTTTAGAAAGGGAATTCAGCTTTTAGTTATTATGCTCTCTACTACATCTTTGAAGTGGGCTTATCATAATAGACAAACATTTTTGAGTTGTTGTTGATTTGTGACTTGGAGGACCAAGACATATGTGGGGGAGAGATAGCAATATGGGCTATACTTGTAGAGTTTTCTAATGTTTTTCCATTTGAACTTCTTTATGGATTGCCTCTATTATGAGGTGTGGAGTATGGGATTACATTGGAACTAAGGACATGACCAATTTATTAGTGTCCATTTTAGTTGAGTTATGCGGAAGAGCAATAAGTTTAGCAACAAGCTAAGGAGTTATCAAGTAAATCTCCGTTTAGTGCTCTGATCTTGCTCATGAAAAAGAAGGATGGTTCAATGCAGATGTGTATTGACTACCATGCCTTGAATAAGAAGATAGTGGAAAATAAAATGTTGATGCCATGTGTAGATGATATCTTAGATGAGTTTGGTAAATCATGA